TTTTCTTATTGTAGCATTAGCTTCGATTTGCCATGTATTTGAAAAGCAGCTAAGTGCTTGGTGAAGCATTTACACAGCCCGGCATGTACTACCAAATTTATCAGCAATAGCTTATGTATGTCCAGAATTATCGTAATGATTCAAGAGGTGGTTTCAAGAATTTTCAATGACGCGAATGAACTTCATTATCTATGTCCAGAATTATCGGGGTGATTTGAGACATAGTTTCAAGAATTTTCAATGATGCGCAGAAACTTTGTTGTCTGTGCCCAAAATTATCGGTACGATTTGAGAGATAGTTTCAAAAATTTTCAGTAATGCACCTATTCTATAATTCATTATGTATATCCAAAATCATTGGGTCGATTTGATACATAATTTCAAGAATTTTCAATGATGTGCAGTGTACTGATTACTAACAAATTCTGGCAGATTCCATTGGATGCCACGCTGAAATTCTATATCAGTCAGTGCCGTCATGAGGGATACTGATTATTCAAATACAATCAAATACCGAAAATCCGCCGACCTGAAATCGGCCAACTCCCGAAATCCGCATTGCCTCCCCAAAATATAAACATTCAGTTTATAGGTTTCGGAAACTGCAACATGGAGCACGAAATATCGCAGAAAAATACTTACCGGATAAATGACATCATAATGACTGAATAAAATGAGTCACAACGGAAATACCAAATTATTGACATCATGATAAAAGTTTTTTTCCCCTCCAGTCCGCATAGAGGTAAAAAAGCAGATCATTCACTTAACTTTTCTTTCAAATACACGATTCACATTGTTGTACTTCTGAGCTGTAATTTCAGGAGATTGTTTAGTGATGCCTTTTTTTTTATTACTATTATCCAGATATTTTGTGGATAAATTAAAAATATTTTAAATTTCAACACTTTTTAAACACATTGCACTGGTGGTAATACAAAAAGAGGAAATCCTGCAAAAGATGAAAGGCAGAGCAGAATCGTATGGAATTGCAACACGGACTGCGTATGATATACGGAAAAATAAAGAAAAGCTGTTAAAATTTTACAGCAACAGTGATTCGAACTCCAAAACCGGAAATCTTTACATGAGGCGAAATCGGCAAACTCAATGCTGTCTCGTACGAGTGGTTCTGGCAGCCGCCTGAGTGATGGGGTACAAATTTCAGGACTGCTCCTGAGAGAAAAGGGGAAGCAGATTTATATTGATTTAAAATAGAGGAGCCTAATGTAAATGAATAATATAATCAATTTATATATGTAATAATAATTTAATGCATATAATAAATTATTGCAATAATGTATATAATAATTTAATTAAATGTATCTAATATGCCTTATTTATTTTGCACTTTTAGCATCAATATTATGATTTATATTTTCTGTCTCGAAATCTGCAAAATCCTAAAATCCGCACAACCTCTGGTACCAAGCTTTGTGGATTTCTGGACTTCTACTGTACCACTGAAATTGCAATCACATTCTCTTTTGGTGAAATCTTCTATATTAGGGAATCGGTAAAAGTAGTTATTCCAAAGGGAAAAAATTTTTTAACGATTTCTTACGTTAGGATCCAAACATTCAAATGATCTCAGTATGCTAGTTCTTATGTTAATTGTGTGAAGAAACAAAATTATTTTTTAAGAAAAAAGGCCTAAACAAGTTAATAGCTTACTTTTAAATAACTATTCTTCCTTGAATAATAGTTTCTCTGCAGCGTGCATTGACGTGTAGCATTTAATTTACCCTTTCTAAAAGACTGCTCATGAGTAAAAAAAAAAAAAAAAATTCTTTTAAATAATGATTTGCAGTATACAGAGGAACCTCGAGATAAGAGTTTAATTCGTTCCAGCACTGAGCTCGTATAGCGAATCTCTCGTATCTAGAAACAAGCGAATCTCTCGTATCTAGAAACAAAATTCCCCCCTGAAAATAATGGAAATCCAGTTAATCCGTTCCGCCCCCCCCAAATCTCATTACCTTCTCATCTTCAGTCGACGTACCTGGTGTTTTTTTTTCAGAGAAGGTCCAAGTACAGATTCTTAGCCTTAGCGCAAATGATAGCTTCCGACACCAAATCGCCTTTTCGTTAATACACACCAACAACAGCTTCTCCATTGAACGGTGCTTGGAAATAACTCCTTTGGCCACATCAAGTTTCTTAATTTCTTCCTTCTTCAGAATAGTCTACATCTTCGATGTCGAACAGCCGTAAGTCTCTGCCAATTCCATCACTCTTGCACCATGCTTTATCTATGATTTCTTCCTTAATTTCAATGGCCATGGCTTCCTTCTTTTTCTTTGCAGCACTATCTGAGGCAACAATCTTCTTGGAAGGCATCATGAAGTAATTATTTTCACTTTAAATGTAAAAAAACAATTAACTCACAAGCGCACAAACACACAGTTTAAAGAACACCAAGTGATCTGACGAGGTATTCCCAGAGTCGGGCCGGAACGGGAAACGCGCCATACATACCAACAACCTGGCACATTGCTTGTATTCAGAGATGAATTTTTCGTTCATACTTTCCTCATATCTTGAATTTCTTGTATGGTGAAGTGCTCATATCTCGAGGTTCCACTATACTCAAATAAAATTTTTTATGTAATTAAAGAGCAATGAATATGCTTCCAATTCATTTTACTTCTACTAAAATAAAAGAATAATAGTTATAAACAGAGAGGTACAAAGGAAACCAGAAGAAAATATTTGGTTTCTCTGCCTGAAGAAGAAATGCTCAGGTACTCTGTACAAGAGTTACAATTTTTATTTTCTTAGGACTTAAATTTTTTTAACACTAAACAGTAGATAAGACGCATTTATTCATATTTATATGTAATCATATTAATCAAATGTTCATTAATTTACTTCAAAAGTTTACGTATATTCAAAACTTCTCTCATTATTTTTGAAACGATATAAATTTGGACTTGCGGCTCTTGAACGTTCATAAAATCTATCATGTGGCTTCCATTATCTTGAAGTTTGGCCATCCCTGCTATATATAAATGTAATAAATATCCTAAGTCGCACTTTCGAGACAGTGTTAAATTTTTTCAAACAGCCCAGTAGAACGGGAGATAAGATAGAACTGTTTTTTTTGGGGGGAGGGGCTGCACACTGTATACATAGGTATTTGGAGGAGTTGAAAAGGGAGAAAATTTGATAGTTTTTTTATGTTGTTGACGAGAGAATAAAGGTAACTCTTCTAAAAGTTATTCAAAGAAATAAAGCAGTGATCAGGGCTTATTTCATATTGCCGAAAGATATGTAATTGTCTTGAGAATGAAGGGGTTTAGTGGCCCACATTTATAATTTAAAGATCTGTTTCTGGTGTGCACAAAAATTCTATTAAAGCTTCATGGAGTTCTATTAAAAGATCTATACATAGCACAAGTGTAAGGATTAATTTGATTCTTATCTTGTCAAATATACATTGCATAAAATGCGTAAGTATAATCTTCAACAAGAATATTAGAATTCATAGAGGCCATAAAGAAAGTTTATCCTTTTAATAATTATAATTAATAATAATTAATTTCTTGAAAAGGGTAAGTTTTTTTTTAATGCATCAGAGAAGCTTTATTTAAAAATGTATGATAATCACTGCGGGTATGTACAATTCTCCATTTTTTTTTAAAGAGAAAACAGACTGCTGCATAGATGAGAAGAAAAGCAGTAATGTATCATATGATAAAATATATAGGGTATTTAGTGCACCCAATGCTGAGTTTCTGCAATTTTCTGTGTTTTTCATTTGGAAAAAAAAGATTACTGCTCACATGAGGAAAAAGTAGTATTATCTCATATAATATTTACAGTATTTAAGATGCAGTATGCCGAGTTTCTGCAATTCTCCAATATTTTTTTTAAAGCAAAAACAGTTTATTGTGTACATGGGATGAAAAGCAGTAATATATAATATAGAGTTTGTTTAATCTACCATTTTTGTATTTTAAAGAGTATTTTTAATTGCTTTTGCAGTGTTATTTGTAAATTGTATTTTTTACCATCATATTCACATTTAAAATTGCATTTTTAGTTGTTTCTATGGATATTACAATAATGAATCTTTTTGAAAATAGTCGTCGAACTCGCCATATCATCCTTTATAAGAAAACGTTAATGCAAATTTCAATGAACAAGCTTTAAAGAATTATACAGAACAATCAAACCTGATGAAAAGTGTTGATAATTTATTTATATTTTCATACCACAATGGTACAGTAATATTTGAACAACTTAGCAAGAGTAAAACTAAAACTACCATATAATTTTCTTTTATTTCATGGCTAATGATAAAAATACTAACTTCATTTGGTAAAGTTTGATACCTATAGTACATAAAAACTTTTTATACTACAAAAAATAATAATAATAATAATAGTCCAATAATTTACAAAGCGTGAAATCAAAACCACCACATTTTTTTATTTCCTGCCCTGACATTAAAAATACTCACTTTATTTAATTCCTCTCACACATCAAAAGATCCATAACAAAAACAATTTCACCAACTTGCCACATTTTTGAGCACATGTTAGAATATTTATATTGAATACTTAACTTAAAGACAGGGAAAACTTCAATGATATTTCTTCATATTAATAAATAAATTACACAAAAATGACAATAAGGAATATGAGTTAAAAAATAATTTCAAACCATAAAATAAATTAATAAACTAAAATTTCTGATTTCTAACAAGTACTTTAAAGTCTTCTATTGCTTATGACTGAATGCATATAGTCTTTCATAGCCTTAATATACAATTTCCATTCACCATTTCACAAGTAACATCATAAAACACCTTAAAACTGAAACTTTAATATTACTCTTTCTTCTAACATTTTTACCTGTTTTAGCAGTTGACGTAAAAAAATTTTAAAAAAATGGATCATTCATTTATTTCATACAATAAGTGCAACAAAATAATCTTTTTATGAATTTCACTTACATTAAGCATAAAAATTTTAATACAAAGTATATCAACTTACACCAGTAACAAGAGGAGATAGGAATTTCCAGCATATCATGAGCCATGGGTTAATCCGGAAACCCAGCATTTCTTCAATGTTGTCATAGAATCGATTTACACCTATCAGAACAGATCAATTGTGGAGAATAATGGATAAACAGTGGTGAAAATACTGCCTAACACTTCTCTTTAAAATAGTTAAGCATGCTATAATATATTTTTTAGATAATTAACTTTACAGAAAAAAAATTCATATATTGTGTTTAATTATTATGTTAAAAGGGAATTTTTTTAATATTGCTTTTTAAAATGCACTTATTTGAAAATTAACATATAAAATGACACTATACGCATATTATTAAATGAAAAAGTCTGCTTATATAATGACTCAATGATACATTGTAAAACATTTTTTCATATAAAACTGTGATATAAAATAAAATCAATATAAAATTTATGTTTAAAATTTAAGTACAAAATTCAATATGAGGTTTTATAAATGTTCTTGATAATTTAAATCTAAATGTTCTTGATAATTTTTAAAATATTTAGAAATACAACTAATAAAATGACTTAGCTTTTATACATTCAATTCTAATTGCCAAAAGTGCAATATATCTTTTAAACATATACAACAATATCAGGGTAATATATATATATATATATTAAATATACTCAAAAAATTTTTAAATATTAAATGTTGTCAGAGTGTGAATTACACATGGCTAATTTTCATAATATATTTTTTAAACTTATTAATAAAGAAAGATAGCTTATATAATTTTAAAAATAAAATGCAGAAGGGATTTTATTTTGGCTTTTACATAACAAATAATTTTTATTTTATTTTTACGTATAATTCACACCCTGGGAAAAAAGCAACTGGATACTTAAAGGAAACCAGAAGCCATTCAAAACCTGGGGATATTTTTTATAACTAAGTAAATTGAGTACACAGGCTGGAATTCTATGCATATTTTTATAACACTGTCCTTCCAAAGCATTTGTCCTGCTTGAAGGACAGTCAAGCACCCACCATTTCACAAATAACACTACAGAATACCTTAACACTGTCCTTCCAAAGCAGCAATGATAACATTGATCCTGCTCGAAGGACAGTCAGCAACCGCAACATAAACACACCTAACCTTTTTGTAATCTCTGGCCTATTTTACAGCCAACCAGTGCACTAGAAACTTTATTTTGCAAAAATAAGAATTAAGGGAAGTTAAGGTCAATTTTGAAAATTTAGTAATGGATGATGTTTTAGCATATTTCAGTTATTTAAATTTTGATAAGTTATATGCACATTTTAAAATTTTTATTTGGTTTTTATTCATTAGAAAATTTAACACTTTCTGCTTGAATATTTCATAAATGAGAATTTCTTCCCCTACAAACAGCAAAAATTCTCTAAAATTTTAAAATTTGAGAATTTTAATCTTTGAAATTGAAAATTCAAAACAGATTTGGTTGGAAAGCTTCTACATACATAATAACTTAAATAAAAAAGTAAAGTTGAAATATAAAGGGGAAATGCTTTATGAAAAATTCAAAACAAACTCATAAAAAATTACATTTTTAAAGCATAGTGATAACTATGTATAACAAATGAATTTAGAGCAAATTAAATTATAAAGAAGGAAAAAAAAGGTTTGTACAGCTTCATGTGAAATACTACTTTATATTACATATAATTAAGATTTATTTACAGCACTGATTATGACAACTATTAATGTCTGAAGAACCTTTCCAAACAAAGCAAAAACTGATGTCTCATATTTTTAAAGAAACACCTTTCTAGAAATTCTACTTTTGAGTTCATTTCATAATAACATGGGTTAGTAAAGAAGGTAAGGAGTTAAATGCGCAAGGGAACAAAATGTAACTTTTGGAACAGAAAACTGTCAGAGAGGTGAAACTGGTTGGCAAACCTTTTAGAGACTAGGGACAGAGATTAGAGGTTTGTTAGAAACAGCCACCACTGTTACGTACCGTATACCCAGGCAACAGCTCCGCACTCAAAGACACAGAACCACAGCAGAGTCATACCACTTGCCGAGTAATAGTCAAACACTTGGAACACGTACATACCACCCTAAAAAATGAGGTATAACATTAAATCTATTAAGGTCTCAGGGATCCTTGGCAGAAGCCAGAACCACCTGATATCCATAACGATTGCTTAAGAAGGCTTTCTAAATTTATAAAATTATTCATTATTCATTTATGCATTATTCCCTACTGAGGCCATGACTTTGCAACTCACAGAACACGTATTTTAACAAACACTAACTCGAACTCGAATCTTTTGATTATGATTTCTCTCGCAACTTGTAAAATAATTAATAGCACTTGGTAAGCAATCGATATGATATGTCATCACTTGTCGCAGTACTCATATGGATGGTACTGTGCTGACATGTGAAAAAATTTAAGGCATACTTACCATTTCTGTTCTAAAAGGCTGAAACAGTAGAAAATTTGTCCAAGTCTAAAAGAACTAAAAATTAGAGATACTGACTGATACATAACCTTAACATCACTTAAGCTGCCATTGATTTAAAATTGGAACTTTTAAGAACACCAAAGCAAACAGAGAAAAATATCAAAGAAAACACAGTTTAAGAATAAAAAGCTTTTTTTTTTTTTTTTTTTTTTTTTCCCCCATTTAAAATTTTATGAAAGAAAACCTTCTAAATAATGAAATACCAGTCAACTCTAAATAAAACTAAGTTGAGTGGTCAAAGCTCAAACAAGCCAAGATAACATATACAATAAGCACCCATAATGAAGCCATAATAAATTGTCACTAAAGAACTAAACGATAGTATTTCCAAAGAAAAATTTAAAGTTCGATGAAATGCCATGAAATATAAAGTTCAGCAAAGTATTTAAGATCGTAACAAAATTATTATACACCATTATGATTTACTCTAAAATTTTCCCATTAATTCTATACAATTATAATAAAAAAGAACCAAGTTGTTAATTTTTCTTTGAAACCAGCCATATAGCTATTAGATAGAAATAAGTTACAAAACACTATGTACTCTAAAATAAAAATAAAAAAAATAAAAAAAAACTACAGTAAGTGTCAAGGTTAAGGTCTCGGGAAGGCATAGTAGTAAAAGGTATCAATAATAGAAATAAAAATGCATGAATATAGGAATTAAGCTCATTAATAAAAATATATAGCAGTAAAATTCCTCCAATAAGGTAAATAAAAATTGCATGCTAAAGTAAAAGAATCTATCACAACCCATAATACCAGGAAATAAATCAGCTCTGAATACCAGAAATTTAGATATTACAAACCAATATCAAAAGAATGCAAAATAAGAGTTTAGTATTATTAGAACAGACAGAAAAAACTAAAGTTTCTGAAAAGTATTAAATGGCAGTAATAAAATTTTAAATGAGATAAAACAGCATAACATGCAAGACTTTTCATGCATATTTTTTTTTAAATAGATAAGTTAATGCATTTGTTACATTTCTATAAAAATAACAGATAAAATATCAAAATTTTCAATAGGTCATAAATCATTATTAGATATCACAAGAATAAAATATGTTACATTATATAGCATTGTTTAATCAAGTACTTCATTTATTAAATCTGACATTTAAAATATTTCTTTTACACAGAATACACGGTTTCAGACAGCAAATTACATCTCTCTGATGCTTCTTAAAAACGATGAGAAAATGTCTAAAAGTGAATGAAACATTCACTGAATACTGATAGCTGCTGCATAATATATACGACTAAAAATTATAAACATCATTAAACCAAGAGAGAAAAAACACACCAAAAATTTAAAATTAAGCAAAACAGCAACTTTCTATTTGGCATAGATTTTATTCTCTGTCAAACATAAGATTGAATATTCTTTTAAATCTATGTCAAATATAAGGTTGTTGTTTTGCTTAATTTCAAGTCATTAAATCACTTAACAAATATAATCATTAATACATGAAATAAACAGTAATTAAATGACATTTGGACTTTGGATTGTATTTTAGCATCATAGAAAATTATTTGTAAAAATAATTAAGAATTATGCAAATTAAATAATTTTTCAAATGGCCTTCACTGAACAAAAAGCTTCAATAAATTCTGTCTGAAATTTGCTACAGTAATCTTAATTTGATAGACAAATGTGCCTGTTGGATGTTTCTAGATTACTCAAATGCATACAAATAAAAACTAGTAAATGCCATAAACAATAAACTAGATTTTTAATTACTCTTTTCGTAAAAAATAAAACAGTAGGAAATAATGCAGTTAAAAAATATATATTAATAATATGCATCTTCGCCAGACAAGATTCTATAGAAGACAGTAGGCTATGGTAGTAATTAATGAATCGCTTAGAAAACATGAAACCCAAATAAGAAAAACATAATTTGAAAATGTAATAAAACTTTTATATAATTTGGTAATCTACATATATCCATAAGCATGTAAAAATAAATGACCTAATATCTAATGAATAGCTTGGTAATGATTAAAAAGAACCTCTTTCTTTTGCATGCATTCACATTTTCTGTTTAAAATATTTAGAGAATTTTGTAAATAATTTACTTTTCTAAATCATACTATTTTAAATTATAATTTTAAACAGTATAAAGATTTAAAAATTTTCTTTATTTCAGGGTTATATACAAATATGACCATAATGTAAGAACTGAAACAGTTACAATATGAAATTACACAATTAAATGTTATTAGTTAAAAATTTAAGAATTGCAGTGAGAAATGTTATCAATGACCGCATATTCTACGGAGTCAAAAAATTGACTAAACTTCTAAGTGGATTTAAATATAGGAATAATGTATAGAATTAAAAATATTTTCAGCATATGCTCTTGAGGCAGCTATATCCAGCAAGCAGTAGAAGACTCTGATTAAATTTCCCATGGAGAGAATAGCTGATTTTTCAATACTTCCTGTTCCCAAAACCTAACAACATGCAAAACTGTGATCAAAATTAAATTTTATTACCATTATTTTTAATCTAAAGAAGAATAAGTAGTGCTTGAAGATTTTAGACAGTCATTTGCCGAGACTGAACTGAATAATTTGATTGCAACAAAAGACTTTAGTACTATCTGTCTCAAGAGCTAGCATCCTAAGAGAAAATGACTAACATTCATGTTAAACATGGAAAAATCAAGAAAGTGCTCATAAAGCTAATCCATTCAATCAAGATCTGAACCTGAATTAAATTACTACTTTCAGTACTTTTCTCACTTGTCTACTGGTTCTAGCTATCATTTACTAAAAATGTAGCATCTTAGTTTTCTCAGTAAAAAGAAATGTACTGAATAAAGAAGAAAATACATAAGTGAAGTTTAACCTATTTTTTAACACAATCCTATTTAAAAGATCCCAAAAAACGTCCTTAGACATATTTAATATGAAGGAAATTACAAACATCTTTCATTGTTTGTTCGCAATTACAATTTTATCGGGTTACCTCCCCTTTTTTCTTTTTTCTTCTTTTAAATTTGATTTCCACTTTTCTAAAATTGTCTCATTTGAGGCATGTTTTGAGTCTATGTGAAATTTCAACTGTTCATGACTGAGCATTAAAATTATATTTCTGATGAAATATTAGATTTGCAAGAAGCTTTCATTGTTTTATTTAAAATAAAAATGCACTTCTTTCTTATACATTTTAATATCACTAGTCTTTCTACAAATCAAATTTTACTTGTATTGATTCGAAATAAAATAAATATTGAATTATTTTGAAACAATAAAGAATATACTAATGTTGAACAATAATATATATTGGATAACTTTTTTATGTACGACACATATAAAATTTAATTAATTTAATTTCATCCTGAAATTGAATGAAAGAGTAAATGCTCATTAAATTCGGCATATTCAGTGTTCACTTGATTATTCACTTTGGAATTTTTAGAACTTTAATCCACTGGCTTAAGTTTAAATGAAATTTTCTGTCACTATGAATATTTTTTTAAGCAGTGATCAGAAATCATTGATTTTCACTGAGAAACACTGTAAACATCATTGAGAAACAATGTAAACAATTTTATATATAAAATCTCACTGATACTATATAAACTGTCCAAAATATATTGGTTAAAGATTTACATAACATACTATTTTCTATTACATAGTTTTCAATAATATAAACTTTTCAATGAATTGTATAGTACTGAATTTACACACACAGGATTAACTGAATGCATTTTAAAATAAGTTTTCCCATTGCTATTATCACTCTACTATTACTTTAAACCTTTTTATTACCTGCTATTACTGTTACATATTTCAGTCTTACACCAAAAATACGCCCTTCACCAATAGTTCTTAAAATTACACCCAGGTTTTATTATAAAAACTTATTGCAAATAGGCAAGTGATGGAACTGATATGGACAACTGACATTATACAAGATATGCAATAATAAATATCAATAATTCTTTTTTTCAAAGATATCATGAGGTTCTGGACTATAATTTAAAACTCAAAATATTAATTTTTCAAGCACCTAAATGAAGGTGAATATTTATTTTAAAACTGACAAGATTGGTCAATTATTATATTTTCTTTTCCACTCTAATTTTCTCTAGATTTATGAAATAAGTATTACTTTCGTTCTATGAATTTATTAAATATTTTTATGGCAGAAAACTATAAACATGTACAAAAACACCACTACTAAACTGAATCAAATCAAGTACCAAAGAGAATTAAAATGCTCTTATTCTAAATATGACATACATAAATATAACATGAAGGTAAAAAAAATTCTTATGCTGTTCTGTGAAGTGCTGTTCTAAAAAATGCATGATACTAATGTATTAAAAGCAACAGAGGATATCTCAGAAACATTCAACACAGTATTCTACATAGTTTATGATTAAACAGTCCATTTTCCATTGCAGTACATTTTCAAGTAATATCATTTAGTATCTGACAGTTTGTTTCCCTCATTAACTTTGTACTATGTTAATTGAAAGCTCACAGACAGATTGTTGTTTTGAAAGAAAATTGTGTGGTGAGATTTTGTTACACAGAGGTGAACACATGTAATATAAATCTGCATCCAACAG